CGTCCAAAAATTAATTATATACTCAAATACATATTAAATTCACAGTCTATCTGTCTAATCTAGTAATTGATTTTAAAATATTGAGATATCTGAGAAATAGCAAAGGTATCAACCCACACCCATATGCCGCCGACGAAAAGCTACCAGGTGCAGTGAAAAAGGTAAATTTTACGTTTCATAGGGATAATATACTGTGACTGTACAATGTTTGTTACAGGGCGCCATGTAAATTATTCCTTCTTTTGACGAATCTTCCTAGTGATTTTGAATAAAAAATATGACATAAATATCATTTATATGTAATATTGGTACTCCTCCTCCGAGAAAAACGCAATTGAACAGTATGAAGTCTGGAAAAGGAATTTTAAATATTATTTTATTCATGAATTGTGTGCTTTGGACTGTCATATAATTGTTGCTGGTAAATAACATTTCTTCTCAGTGAATTAATTTTGATGCCAGTTTATATTCAATACTTTTTTGATTGAAACATCCAGTATCTTTTTCCACAGCTATATTTTATGGAGGCATATAAGATTCTATCAGTATATTTTTTCCCAATAGTTATGACACCCTGTATATCAGTCTTTCAAATTTGATGTAGTTTTTTGGTATTGTACTAAAGAATTCATCTTGGAAAAATTTATAGAAAAGTTAGAATATTGATCTCTCCCAAATAGTTACCAGGTCACCAAAAACTTTTTTGGTCACTGAAAGTACAGTAATACAGGAATTCTTCTCGCACAGTTTATCAGTGTTCTGTCAGTTGGCACATCTCAGTATTGTTGAGAATGGGAGCAGATTCGTTCCCAGTACATCAAAAGTAAAAATATAATATTTTTCTTATATATTTGCTCACATATATTTTCAAACAAGGTGTCACTGACTATTTCTAAGGCATTTCTTTTTTTGGCACTCACCAGTGAAATTTTCAGCAACACAATTTGGGACAAATCATCTGATTTGTCTCTCTATGAATATATTGAAAAAATATTCATATTTTTGTTTATAGAAAAAAGGAGAATCTCAAAAAATCTAGAGAAATGGATCTAGCACACAAATATATGAAACCCTTCAATCTCATTTGAGTATTTTTTAATTGGTCAATATTAATATCTGTATATTAATATTAAAACATCTGTTTTGATCAGATTACCCAGTTATACTACAAATAAATGTGGTCTTACTGAAGAATTAAAATTCTAGCTTGACTAATACAATGGTGTTCTTGAATATTCACTATTTCTACTATTTCTAATCATTAAAACTTGAAATTAATGATTATTATTATTACCAACTTATAGGTGATCCATAACTGAGAGTGATGGTGGTGATATAAATCAGGAGGGGTGAAAGGACTTACAGTCACAACTCCTCCACACAAACAATTTAATAATGACCAATGGTCATGTACCAAAGGACTGTTTCAAAGGATTAATCCATCATCATCATCATCATCGAATTTATAAAAAGAAGATCATTGGTGAAAAAAAAATACTTAAATAACCTAAGACACTGTTTTAAACCGTCCATAGTGTAGGTGGTTAGCTGTTAGGGAACAAACATTATTATAACCAGCTCTATAGGAGCCTAAATTAAAAAAAAATTATGCAAAGAAAATATTGGAAAGCACCAACATGTGAGTCTGAATTTGTTAAATTAGGTAAACTAATATTGAATGTTATATTGCTATTGAATCATTCATATGATATGTTCAGGTTGTTTAGGTCAAATATACTTGAAATGGAACAAAATACCCAAAATACCACTAAAATATTGATGAAATTATAAATATATATTCTGTAATGATGATTGGCTGATTCCCTTAGTATCTTTCTGGATATTTTTATTAGCGACTTTCTGGAGAATAGGTCATGAGAGAATAATTTGATATTCATTATTTCACACATATTTTATGCAGAACTATTGATATGTATTTAATTCTAGGGGACATATCCTGACCAAATCGCTTTCAAGAATGAAAGATGATGGTAAATAGTAATGGGAGAAACCTACTAGCAACTAGGCCCTCATGGGGCTTCTTTGGCTACTTGACCTGAGTAAACCCACCACCAAAAATCCACAAAAATCCTACAATCCCTATTCTAACTATGGACCCACAGATTCAAACTAGAGACTTATGGAGAGAAACATGCTTGGATCATTGGTCAAGCGCCTCACTCGGCAATGTCACTATCAAGGTGATGAAAGTGTTCATGAATTATCCAGGGACGTCAAGAGTGGAGAATATGATCCCTTGGAGGACAAAAATCCCACAATGGGAGTTAAGAAACTTATATTTGGCTTCCTTAAGGCAAATCTAATCATGGAGAGCTTCATAATCTGTGATTGGAAATTTATTTAAGTTGATACTAATTTTTTTTGCAGTCCACCAAAAATTCTAGACCCCTCTCCCTCCGCCAATGCAAAATGAGGAATTCCTATAAAATGTTGCAATAACATATTGAAACAAATTTTGTAATCTTTCGAAAGTTTGTAAATAAAAATTTCACAAAAATAATCATCCAATTCATTCATGCCTAGTACCTCACTATACATACAATTCAGGGTGTCTTAATGAAAAGTAGCCCACAGGAACTAGTCTCCATCACAATGGAAGAATAAACTATCGATTTTTGCAGACAGATCACTCTGCATTTTATTACATATAATGTTACATTTCCAGCACCATCCACTATAGGAATGGAAGATCTAAATAGTCAGTATCTATTGGTAACTTTATAACTTATTCAACATGGAACATTGTTTCATGCCACTACAAGTAATGTATTGTATGTATTATGAGTGTACAAATTTAAAGGGCCAGTTTTTGCATCATACCTGTATAACCATAATATTTCATTTTTGTCATAACCACACTATACATATTGAAAATTTCATGGAAGGAACAATAAATTGATATTGAAAATAGTACATTTTTTAATCCTTAATTTGAATGTCAAATGTTCATGCACTGTTTGGGCCATTCCATTGCTAATAGGCAGATGATTGAGATTTCTGATGTCTTTTGTTGAAACAAATTTTTAGATATTCCACTGCTAGTGTGAAACAAAACAAAATTCCAATTACCACTAGGGAGAGATTGTTTGATTCTTCAAAAACTTCTTCGAATTTGCTCCTTTCATGTACCTGAACCTGAGAAAGAAAAATTATAAGTTATTCAGGGAAAAAACACTTGAATGTTATCAAACCAAAATAATATTCATGAAGATATTTGTATGAATATGTAGGTACCATGTGGGTATATGTATAATCTGAGATACCTTATTCATACATATATACTCCTTACCAATAGTAATTTTTTTGAATAAATTGATAGATCAAAAGGCCACTGTTTTTTTTTTCATCTGGTTATCTGAATTACTCTACTATATCTTCAGAACATATTATACTTCAACTGGAAGTGAGTACAGTATTCAGTGAGAAAAAGAAATGAGTTCATGGTCAATAAATTGAGTTTTTTTTTTGTTATAAAGTATAAACAGAATATATATATAATATACAGACTGACTGACAAAAAAGCCCAAAACCACCCTTGTTTATATTTCCAAATTAAATAAATGAAAGAGAATCAGAATGATCCCTGGATTTTTTTGTAAACCTGTAAAAACATCTTGAATAAAGGGCAAAAATGTAAATCATTAATTTGCCATATCCTGATGATTTATATAATCAATTCCCAATGTTTAGACTTGCTCAGATTGGTTAAGAGTTGAATTATGTTCATGAAAACTATTAATCTGGACTCTGGAGTCACTATAGGTGTTAGGTACTTACATTTGAGAACACCCAATCTGTAGTTTAGAATGTTTTTCCAGTGGATGTAGTGGGCATCATCCAGGAATCTGCAAGTTGCTGAAACTTATTTTAAACATCAATATTTTATGTTTCACAAATACTATTGCCAACAGATTATCAATTCATAAACATGAGAATCTATGACATGAGTATTTTTGGCTTGAATGCATTTGCTGATTCATAGATACTGAAACTAGTGATGGTGAGAACACATTCAAAATTTGAAGATGTAATTGTAGGTAATTAGAGATTGAATCAATGCACATTGATTTATATTGGACTGAGGTTCACACTGTATAGAGAGCAAAGATAAAAGTAGGAAAATCAAAAACTACAATACCTCCTTTCAGTTGGGTATACTATTTGTTCATTCAACACTAGGAAATAAAAGTGTTACATACCTCAAATATTGTAGGAACAGAGAGCCTTTTATTAGGCACTTCCTGCCATACTGGAAAACTCATAATATGCAGCTCTTCTGGAAATGATTTGTGCAAATGCAAGAATATTCACCAACTTCAGAATTTTCTAATGCTGAAATAAATGAGTCAAATGAACAATATCATTTAAATAGGTCAGAGGTACATCTACAGAACTGTTCTTACCCATTCATTCCAAAATTGCAGAAAACGATTCTGTCCACAAACTGATGTCACTGGGAAATCCAAACAAATTGATTGCATCCCAACCAATATAATAATACGAAAAAAAAATGCAAAATAAGAATTATCAATGAAATTACAAGATTAGCTCAGCAGTGAAAGGCAAATGACAACATGTTTTGATTGTTTTGACATTTCATGAGATACATAACCAATAATTTAAAAAATTCTCAAAAACAAATGAAATCTTTGAGATCACCCGTATGTGCTGCCATCCCAGCAATCATACACTGAACTTAGTGATTGGGCAGTCATGACATAGTCGGCAGCTTACTTGATATATTAAGCCGTCATTGCCTAATAACTGAAGTTTTTAATACGTACGCCATAGTACTTACATACAAAACAAACACCTATTCCTCATCTTATTATAGATAATTGAAGTTTCTGAAAACACAGTGCGTTATTAGTCTTCGATATAATGAAAATCGAAGAATCAAATGGTTTACAAAACAAGGATGAAATTCACTATGAATTTCAAATAGCTACCTAAAATTATTGTTGAAATATAATGCTTACCGTTGAGGAAAGGATTTCATGTGGGCAACAACTAAGTAAAAACGACTTGCACACTCTAGGATCGTTGAATTTAACATGGAATTTACTATTTTCTCCTGAAAGGCGAAATTACATTCATTACACTACTACTACTACTGGCATATTGATTATTGTTCCTCACCATTACGACCAGTTCCCATAAGCTGATCTAACATTGCCCGCATCTGATCGTGGGCCGTCATTGTATAAATTTTTTTAGATTTGGACGCCACTATAATGAGATTAGGAACAAATCAAAGAAAAATCGTTAGTTTTAATGATAAAATACCACGCAAACACCACATTCACTTTCGTCTCGACACAAAATGGCGTCAGTCGTTTATGAAATTCTGAACTGAAACTGACAGTGACAGACTGACACAGTGACACAACCACGGACACAACTAAGGTGGCTATAATTGACTGGTGTGTCAAGTCCCTATCCTCAAGCGTGCCCAAAACCTCTCGATCAAATAGGCAACCAGCCCACTTGATATTACAATATTCCAACCAGGTCTCCTACCAACAGGAGTAAGTTCGCCAAACTGTCACGGGGGGCGCCATCTCTGACTTCAGAATGGAGCGAATTGCTGCGTTGCCAGTAGGCGAAAAAATTCCCTTCCTATAAGAAAATTCAAGTCCATCGAGGAATCAGTAATATGCAGAAATTTAACCCAAGTTGTGTCAGGAGAATGTATTAATAATGTTTTTTTCTTCATTCTATACTCATGTTCAGGAAATTCAATTCAAAATTCAAAAATTCAGTATCATGCTTTAACATCAGTGGTATTGTGGATCCCTCTTATTTTCATCATTTCTATTCATATATTCACTAAATTCACATTGGATTTCAGGCTGTAAGTTGGTCATTGTTATACCAACATATCAAAAATAATCTAGTTCAATTGTGGTGCACATAATGAGGAATGATTGAAATACATGCAAAATAATATCTCTGATATGTATATATTGGAATTCATGATAAATTTTTTTATATACACAGTTCATGAGATTCGGACTGAATTCTGATACCTTCTCTATATTAAGTATGTTGAATATATATGATAGGTACTCTATATATCATCGATTATCTCTGACATCTGAGAGTTTCTGTTCGTTAAAAATAATTAGGTATTGTAGGCAATGAGTAGGATGGAGTAGGTAACCAAATTTTGACATCTCGAGATAGGTAAATGGAGTTTCATGTTTATTTATATATATCCCTGCCATTCTGTTCTTATTAGATCACTTCCTTCTCCTCGCAATAGAGCGACCTCGATTCCCAATTCTTCAATCACTATCGTATCTTTGATTCAATGGAAAATACACGTCGGCTCTCCTGGCGGCGATGACTAACCTAACCAAGGTCATAAAGCTAGAAAGTCGGTGCCAGGCAAACTTCTCGCGTAAAAAAGTTCGCTGTTTGACAGAACCACATCAATTTTCAGAAAATAAATGAAAAATTCTTGCCATATTATCATCATACCATACACTTTGGCAAACAGTAGTGGTAAAAACACTAGCATTAATGTAAAAAAATTGTTTCTAGAGGAGATATACCCGAAATTCAACTGAACTTGGCAGTCGTACTGCCATTATTACCAACTTTTCCATGTGAACAGTTAGCCCGTTTTATTCAAGCTCTCTGCTATATGCAACGCGCCATGAGCGCAACCAAAAACCGAATATAAAAAGAGTAAATAGACCGCTTTGATAGCTTTCAGAAACCCACATAGAAAATAATATGCAAATTCAAATGATAATGAAATCTTGGATGAATCAGCGTACATACATTGGATGAATACACTTTTTATTTCACACATAAAACATGAGAAAGAATATATATGTATAGATATACTGATATACATATTCATAATTAATGAATGATGCATCAACTAATCTCACAAAATATCAGTCGATTCATGATTATTCGAAAATAGTTTAGTGGATGGAATTCGGACTAAACATTAATTTAAGATATGGCAACGCTGGTTGGCAAATTCTCTGATTCCAAATGTCCAAATGTCATTGTCTCTTGTCAATAATTAAATTTATAAGAAAAATAAAGATGATGATTTTCAATTCGAATATTTTTAAATTATCAGTGATACAAACATGAAACAACGGTAAAAGTATATATTAATTGTTCTCGCTGTGTGATTAATGTGATTAGTGACTACACAAATAGTGCATAACTGTTCAAAAAGCCCAAATAATCAGCATGGCGGCAAGTAGAAGGTACTCATCATTATTTGGTAAGTATTAACATTTTCCTTTCAACTCCTTTATTATTATTACTACTATTTAATTGCTACGAACTGTGGAAGTGGTAGTTGACTTTTTTGTGCCTAATTCAAATTGTTGTGACGAAGAAGTGTACAGTCACATTGAGATACTCGAAATCTTCTGAAGTGTGGGTTGAAGTGATACAATCAAGAATTATCGGACTTTAGGTATTGAAGTAATGATACCAAGTACATAATACCACATATTATCAGGTACCTACAACTGGTACAACTGTTGGGCTGAAATTATCTAAGACCTGAGCCAATTTTCAATGCAAATTTCATGTTGATCACTGTATATTAATAATTTATCAATTTATAAGTATATCAGGTGGTCCATCCAAAATGTACCACAAGTTATTACAGGCTGAGAAAGAACTTCTCACTCAAGGAAATCAAAAAACACCTCAAGTTTGTTTGTTAGGGGGACAACTTTTGATGCAAACAGCATAGCAAATCCTTCAATCCTCTGAGTGGAGGGGTTATATCCCTTTTTTTAATAGGAATAGGGGTAGAGTTGTGCCTCATTGAATAGGATTTTTTATCTCCTATACATTGTAGTTGTTTTTGAAGATTGATTTACTTGTTTATAAAATATGAAGCTTAGAAATACCAACATGTGATGAAAAATTCCGAGAAAAAATCTATAAACCCATTTCATTTTGCTTAAAAGTTTTAACACTTCATACACAAGTCAGAAGACAGCTTAACTAGCAAATACCTGGCCTATCTGAAGGTAAAGCCCAGGGTAAAGTACAAAAACGATTATTTTTCATTCACAGAAATGATTATTTTTTATTCACAGAAACAAGCCTGAAGAATCTAAAAAGTAAAGTACTCATCTGAATTCTGAATGAAAGATTGATATTTTTTTTTTTTTCAAGAATCTGGAACAATATCAATGCAATTTTGCCATCTTTGTAAAATATTTTTATTTGCTGTCACTTTTCCTCTTTTTTTGTTCTTTTGAACAACATATTCTAAGTCTTGAGTGGTCTTGACAAGACATATATTCTAATTATATTCACAGTGAAACTATCCTTATGTTCATGACAACCTATTAAATTAGATGGTGAAAAACTTAGCTTTTCCAATATTTCTGATGAAGCATTTCTAGTGAGTTCACTTTTGAACACAGTAGAAACGGGTTTTTCAACTTCCCTCAAAAGGTGAATGACACTTTCAGATGGATAAGTTAAAAACCCCCTACTCTTATTTTTAATAAATCCCTTGAAAATTTCATTTCCTTCACCAGTGATACTATTTTTGCAGTGAAAGAATGCATATCTTTCACTTTTGATTTTTTTTGTAACATCACAAAAATAAGCAAAATCTTCTTCCACTTTTCCAAATTCTTCTTCAATCTCTTGAATTCCTTCTTCTAAATGTGGATCAAATACAATTTTTTTTCTCTGGGGTTTTAGCTCTCCCAAGTGTCTTCATCATTTCCCCACCACTAACATTACTACCAGGAGGTGGTTTTATCAGGGAATGGAGAGACATCAGGTGAAATATATATAGCCAACTTGGATTGATTCATGATGCCAGTTAGAATTTCATTGAAGCTATTTGGAAAGTCTAGGCTCTCACAGTTACCTCCAAATGGTTTTGGTTAATCCTAGTGGTCATCAAGTATCGAAAACCCAAACTGGTAAGTACACTTGACCTAATGAACTTTTGGTGTAATGGTGAGTATTTGCTTACAAATTCATTATGTGCTGGAATTCTTCAGTAAGTTAGGTTTGTTCACTGATTTTGATAATATACCTACTTACCTATCTAACTTGATATATTTTTGCCAAATATATTTTTCTTCAAACAAGATTCATGAGCAGAGCGAAAAGAATAGAATTGGCAAATTTGTTCTGTTCACCTCTGCTAACAAGTGAGGGGAGGCTAGTATTGCTCAATTTGTTCATTTCTCCTCCACTAAGCAATGAGGGGAGGCAGAGAAATAAAAATTCATTTGACATAATGTTTTCATTTGAAAATATGACGTGAATAGTTGTAGAAAAAATAGCATGTTTCATTCAGAGAGTACTTTCTGTGTCCTTTATGACTTCTGGACTGTTATCATGTCATAAAAAGTGTCACTTTACCTCTTTAGAGCATGTCTGACTTTAAACACACCTTTATATCTCAGCTATTAATCATATGATTCTTACCAAATTTGTACTAGTATGGATAATCATCAATATGATCAGTTTTTCAGAGACAAAACATCATTATAGACACTGCCGTGAGTTTGTATTGGAATAGAAAGGCTGATTTCATATGAAATCTTATTAGGATTTTTTTGCAGGAAAACTAACTTAATGATGCCCATATGCCAAAATTCACCCCATTCCAAATTACCAGGATCAGCTTTATTTTTTAATTTATAAATAATGAATTAAAATTAATTGCAAATATTAGAACGTTTGATAGCTCTGGTAGGTAGAACATTATGGTTTGAAAGAAAAAACAAGACATAGTTTTTTTCAGAGAAATTATATAAAAAATCACAGATGGGGGTTCAAAACCATGAAGAACAATATTATGAGGTTAGTTTTCCTGTAAAAAAATTCCAAATATAATTTCATAAAAATACTCAAATACTGTCTGTAGGTTAATTGGATTTTCTCTCCTTTTTTTCTATAAAATAAAAATATGAATATTATTTCAATATATGTGTAGTAAGGAAAAATTAGATGATTTGCCCCAAAATGTCACTGCTTCTGAAGATTTTTTCCTATCAGAGAGCCTAAAAGAAAAATTCACTAGCTTGTCAGTGACAATTTGTATTGGAAAAGGTTTGGAGAAGAGAAATAAAGGTATATAGAAGAAATATCAAATTTTCACTTAGCTTTGCATGTTTCAAGATTAATTAATGAAATCATCTTGTAACTCATTTGATTACCAACGTCACCAATTGTCACTGAGAACTCTTCTCCAAACCTTTTTCAATATGAATTGTCACTGACAAGCTAGTGAATTTTTCTTTTAGGCTCTCTGATAGGATCATTTTTTAAATGCAGTGACATTTTGGGGCAAATCATCTGATTTTTCC